TCCGGAGGATGATCACAACAACCCTTTCGGATGCCGTCAAGCGACTCGTGGATGGCAGGCAATGGGCAATCCAACAAAGCCGAGTCCAACAGTCCAGCAGTCCAACAGTCCACCTCCCGAAATCAGTGGGCAATCTGGCTCATGTTGCGTTTCCTTTCTTGTCACTGAGATCACTGAAAAGACATTTTCATACGAGCTGTCCAGGGCTTTCCAGAACGGTCAATCTCAATTCGACGTCTTCGACCACCTAAACCCCATCAATTGGAAGAAGTCATTTGAACACCCTGGATTGTGCCATATTCACCTGCAAGACTTGGTGTCACAAAGGTGTGAGCAGCACGAAGTCACTGCTTCAAGGACTGCACAATTCACTTGCTTCACGACTGCCAGCTGATGAAGGTCCAGGGGGACCTTTTGAAGTTCTTGCTGTCCTCTTGGGTTTTGCTGGCGAGGTCAGTTTGTGTTCAGGACGGTTTTAATGAGTACAGTACATTCATGAACGACTACAGTATGTCCCGTTTCTGAAGCTTCAAACAAGCCAACAGAAGGACCTGCCGGTCGCTGGTGCAGGCCTGTTGCTGGAACGAGATAGTGGTGTCAGAAGCCTAAAGCCAAAGTCATAAAACAAAAAACAAGCGTTTTTGAATTGCTCATGCCGAATGCGCGTGGCCGCAACCAGCGGGGTGCTGTGGCGCCTTTCGGTACCCCAGGTGCCCTCGCACGCCCTGAAACACCTGTATTGCTGGCTGTGGGGGGCTCCAATTGTGCAACCATTGCAGTCAATGCCTGTCTAGACTGCCATCGTTTTCCGAACGCTAGTTCAGCCTTCGCACGCCCGCACCCGAGCCGGCATCCGGCGGCACTGCCATGGTTTGTCCGCTTTAGCACACACCAAGGGTAAGCAGCCGACGCAAAGGTGAGGTCAAATGTGAGCTGGAAGTGTTGTCATTTCCAACCAGTTGGAACAGTTGGAACAGAAGGACAAGCTGGAACTGTTAGATTTTTTCTCCCACTCGGCGGTCCCCCCTTTGGACTGCTCAGAAAACTCCAGAAAACCACTAGTACCAATGTTTAGCTCAGATTGTCCAGCTTCGCATGACTATAACTCTACAGAAATCAATTGTATGAGTTGGTCTACACTCACACTCTCTCTCTCTCTTTCTGTCTTGCTTGAACAACCGGAACAACCCTGTTCTATGGTCTTGATTTTCTCACATAGGAAGGTCCATTTTGCAGCCTAACTCCTCAAAGCAAGAACCCCTAACGTCTAAGGAGCTATTAAAAGATATGTATAGACACCCCTTAGGCGGGCCCTGATAGTGGCATTGATGCTGGAGACATACTTTTGAGTGATGCCTCAAAACTCCACTTCAACAGTGCTGGTTGAATCAAAACGTCCCATTCCTCCTCTCTGGGGCCATGTGCATTGAGATGAAGCCCATGCCCTTAGGCGCGGACCCAGCGGATTCATCTGGACCATCATCCATCCCACTGCTGGATAGGTTCGAAGACAGTCCGGAGACAGCGCGATGGTCTAAGCGGGTCAGCGCACCTCGGACTCTTCCAAAGCGTCCTTTCCATGTCCATCTCGCAAATGAGGTGAAGACTGACCCCAGGCAACCTGACCTGGATCTTCTTCACTTCTCCCCTCGTCCCACCGAGATCGCCGCTCCCTCTTGATCGCCCTCTGTCCGCTGGCTCCTCGAGGCTGGCGATGCGGGGGTCCAGCTTGGCGATGGAGGTTTCCATTCGGTAGCTCTTCTGCCTGAGGATGCGCTGGCTGCGAAACTCTGCGTGCGTTGAGACACCGTTGCCTGCGTCGAAAGCGTCACGTTTCGTTGAAACGTTCCGGGCGGAACACCATTCTGGAGGATCTGGGGTGCCCCAGTCGGGTTTTTATAGCTTGTGGAGGCAAAGTCTGAGAATAGTTGGTCCAAGCTTGGCAATCTTTGCTGTTTCTTAGATGTGCAATGGAAATGGAGCTTGTGGAATCTCTACAGAGACCTCCCATGTACTATACGGTGTTTCTAGGGATAGATGGTAGAACCCATTCAGCCGTAGCCGTTCAGTACCTTAACTGACGAGGCGATGCAACAACTTCCCGGCTGACTCACCGACTGGCCCGTTCCATGCTGCAATTTTGGCCCTGAACTGTGGATCGCACCACGTCCTCGCATGCCAGTTCTTGCGCCACACATGGCCCTATTTGGCCATGATCAGCGGTAAAAGCATGAGACATAGGAAACACATGTGACACCTGATATTTACGAAATCAACAGGTTCCAACAACAAGAAATCATCGCAAAGATTGTCAACACCTCTCATGCTGCCATTGCTCCTCGTGTGGCCGCATGGAGAAAACATGAAAGCACATGTTGATTTGAGGCATTTGGCCCTTGATGATGCCTTATCTCTAGTGCTCGAGCTACTTCAATCTTTGAACCAAGTTGAAGTGATGCTGCCCGAGTGCTTCACCAGCAATAGCATCGAAAAGGGAAAACTACAGATGTGAAAACACACATGTATAAAGCAACAACGTGCAAAGTCTGTGTACATTGGCTCGCAGGTAGGAAACAACCAACCAGCAAGACGCTTCAGTGATTGAGTTAGCCCTGCAATGGCACGATTTCTGCCATCATTTTCAACGGCGTATGATGCGTATGAAGCTTATCAATATAGGAAGTCTATGCAATGAACATATACATCACCACACTCATAGCAAGCTGAGATTCTCGCACATTGCACAGCTTAAGCTAACTCTTGCACCACACATGCGGCCAAGGCATGCATCAACGGCACAAACTGAGCCACATGTAAACCAAACTGGGAAAACCCTTGATATCATTGTGATCTTGCATGGCTTAACACCTATCAGTTTCGTTGTTGCACAGGATGTGGCCACATGCAAGGGCATAGCCAACGATGGAATTGTTCGACGACGTGCGACCCCTTCCACCCTTTCTGTGGCGAAGAGTGGCCAGCGAAAACGGGCGGTCGAAGAGTGCCGCAGGTTTGTTCTTCAAGCCCTTGGGACTGTGGCTGGGGGAAGATCACAGCACAGGTCGCCTCTTTGAGGTGCATTCGGAAGCAAACCAGAATGCGGTCCTTCTTTAAACAGCTTGCTTGAGTCGGACATAGCAAGGACTGAAGGAACCCTCAAGCTCTCAGAACAGATTTCAGAATCAAAGCTGAGCCACCTTCAACATCGCAACTTCGATTTTGCATGATCTGAGACTTACGAAACAGGTTGGCGACACGTGGTATTGAAATCTGGGAACACCACAATATATGACAAAACAATTGACACCTATTGCACATTGTAGGTTCAGCTGATTCTTGTACCACACGGGCATAGAACGACAAAGGCTATGCCCCTTAGAACACCCTCAAAAGCAAACTCTTGAGCACTCTGTGCATCTGGAAACAACACAAAATCCTATATAAATTTGATCAAGACCCCTGGATATGGATCATGCCTGCATTGTCCTCAGGCTACCATCGCCAAGGGATGTGCTGCAAAAAGCAGAACTTCAGACTGGAACTTCGCGACGGATCAATCTCCTTTCCCCAGAACCACCACCCGGATTTACAACCCAAACATACGCAAACTACAGTGCAGCGACAGCATAGAAATCCTGGCGGAAACGTTTGCTGTTGGTCTGTTGGTCTCACTCGCCGTTCATTCCTTGAGTTGGACAATTGACAATTGTACTTTCACTACAACTGACACCCTATTATGCAGCATGTTTTGAGCACATTGCATTGCTTGAATCAATTATACCCACCCCCAAAAGACAACTCAAAAACACAAATGATGGAGTTGCTCAAGTTGCCAATCAAAGCTTGGCTCTCAATGACGTTGGTTGCAAAAGATTCCTTACATCGTGTGTATATATATACACTGTATATATATATATATATATATGTGACTTGTCATGGCTACATCACTGCTGAACATCCAAAAGCGGGTCGTAAATGGATTCTTTCATCCTTCAATATATTCATTCGGTGGTTCGCGATTATTCAGACAACAAAAACAAAGTCGGCACATCCCTCTGCCAAAACGGTGCAAATATGGGATTGATATTATCAGAAAATTCACTTATCAGAATCCAACAGCTTGACTCTGTAGAAAGAAAAACCACAGGAATACGAGCAAGCATACTTATCACAAATCACAAACAAACAAGTAAAACGCCATACTCACCAGGCGTTAAAGTCTCCGACGGTATGTTTGATGGCGCCAAAAAAGCAACAGAAAAAGCTCAGAAGCGAAGACCATGGATAGATTCAGCTAAGGCAAGTGGTAGAAAACTGGTCTTTTCAATGCTTGGATGGACATGTGAAGGGAAGCAAAATGATAGAAACCTTTGCCAAGCAATGAGTCACTTCGGCCCCTTGCATGACCAAATTCCTCTACAAACAGGTGGTTTTCCACTTCCATGCTTATATAAGTTTCAGCGAGTCTAAGAAAACTCTTGCCAGCGGTGCAGCCCAAATGAAGGACCCCCAAAACGGATGGTTTATGATTAAACATCCCATTGAAATGGATTATTTGGGGGGTCCCCCTATTTATGGAAACCATCATATAAAAAGAAAATATGATTGCAGCAATTTATGGTAATCTTATGACAGGGAAGAGCTGGGTATGATAACCGCAATCCCCACCCTACCCAATCTGTAGTTATATGTTTGTTGGACAAGAATGTATGGGGTGTACACGGTGTAGAAGTGGAGTGATAGTTTAATAATGCACCAATAACTAAGCCAACAAGTATCAGCACATCGGAACAAATTTGAGGTGATCAGTGTTGCAAGTTCCACATCGGAGTAAACGCTCCAGCAGGGCATGCGCACACATGCCATGTCTGGTCGTGGCGATGTCTGGCCTTACAACATCCATGCACATCAGACTGTTGATCGTCACATTAGTCAGTCCAAGGCTATGCTTGCAAGTGACATACCAGTATTGGCCGCTGGTTTTGAGAACGCATCTTGAGAGAGTAATATCAACAGCCGGATATAAAGGCGCGCGAGTCCCTCCTCAAGGGGACTCGTTTTCCGTACCTCCGAGTATCAAAATTTCAATTCCGATTGAAACGCTCTTACATCAGTGACTACAACCGGACCTGAAACACCAACCTCATCCAACCTCCACAATCATCGGAAGGGCAATGCTCACATAGGAACAAAGCGCACGCGTGTTCTGGTCTCAGGCGTAAGTCTCGACCAATGAGCCAGGGGCACATGTCGCCTGCTTGCCCCACCGCATTTCTTGCCTCGCCTTGTGAACGATGCGTTTGCTGCGGACAGCTTGGTTGAGCTTCTCTTGGTCCACCTTCTTGAGAAACTGCTCAAGCCTCGCCATGTGTCGCTCATATGTCGTCCGCATGGGCGGGAGGTGCTTTGAAGATTCTGCATCCATTTTGAGGTCCTCCATGGAATGGAAACTCAATCTGGGCTCTTCCATGCGGATGGATACATCCTTCGCATCTTGCCTTGGATTTGCGCAGGGGTGCAGATCAAATACTCACAATATTTTTCCGGGTATTTCCGGTGGGTATCTGGAAAAAAGTTCTGGAGGTTTTCGCAAACATCTCCTCCCGCCAACCGATAGCAGCATACTACACAAGCAAAGCCAGGATGCGCGTTAGGCCAAGCAATCACAGAACTCTCCTCATAGCCTGAAGGCATCTCTACGGTACTTCCATTGCATCCCATGGTACTGTGGTCACTTGAGAACGACACTCCGATACGTCTTGAGCCTGAACGTTCAAACCCTCCAAACCCATAATTTTGACAGGGCAGCAATACAGAACCAATGGATACTCTAGCCGTCTCCAAAAAATGCGCCTCAGCAAAGTGAAGCGCAAGACCTGCGATGATTAGAGGGGAGAAAGAGGCTGGCTCTGGCATTTGTTCCCCAAAAGATTTGTCCAAAGAATACATCATGAATCATAATACATCATTGTAATTGATGCCAGTCTGTTTGGATCCCGCATCTGTGTGTTTGAGGATCTTCATAAGTGTTGGATCCACGAGTGGTTGGGTTGCACCTGGTTGCCTCATCGGGGTCCTGCCTGGAATCTCATCAGTTGGCATCGTCCATCTAGGAATTTCAGGATGGCTGATTGAGCCTCCCACTGCGTCCCATGATTTGGTGCCCAGTGACTGAATGCTATCCACGGCGTTACTCTCCACCTGACCGATCTTTGGCTTCGGGTGGGCTTGCGGAACGGAAGCCATGACATCCGGACCAGCATCGCAGCATCTATGGCACTGATCTGGATCCGAGGAGTCCGAATGAAGAGCTGTGGAGGTGGAGGCGAGCTCACATATGGAGGTGGAGGCCATGTGAATCCTTCAATTTGCTTGGCTTCACGTGGTGAATTTTGTACACGCCTTGGCGATGGCCGTAGCCGAAGCCACAAAGGCACCAAGGACATGTTGTCGGAAAACCTGATAACCCAACCCTGGGAACCTGTCAGGGAACCTGCCAACTTCTTCAAAGCGACCTCTTGAGAGTCCCTAAGTGACCAGGTGAAGTTTTCTTTAGTTCTGCCGTTCTGAGAAGACGTGAACCTCACAATCAAAGATCGTCCTACGGCGTCCACCAGATGTCCTCCGGTCCATCTGTACGACTGGGCGGCAAAAGGACGACGTGCAACATGTGGTCATCCGTTCGGGGAGTATCAACCCCTTTACGTCTACCAAGGTTTGTACTCTACATGACTTGGCCTTGTTGTCTGGGAGGAGGTCAAAAAACATTTGAGCGGTGGTCGAAACCCTTTAGTCTTGGCCTTATGACCCTTCTTCGCTTACGCGTCGGCTTCCGCAATGTTTACGCTACCAATGTTTTCGCTTACGCGGTGATGTTTTTTCTTACCTAGTAAACCATAAGTGTGCATTGTTTTAGTCAGTTTGGAAAAGCAATGTTTTGTGAAAAAATGCAATTTTCTCAACTTCACAGATCCCAACATACACTTTTTGTTATTTCACAACATTCCAGACATGTTACATGAGAAACCGGATCCAAAGGGTTCCCAGCCACCGGGCTCAAAAGAGACAAAAAAACAAGAGCGGAAATACCCGTCCAAAAGGCGGAAGTCGGCGGAACAAAGGCGGAAATACCCGGACAAAAATATGGCCCAAATTTGTCAGGTTTGAATGGTCAATTTGAAGTGGATCTGTGTCCACTGAAATGGGCCAGGAAGACACGACAGCACTTTTCACTCCCCATTACACTTTTGCTTGAAAGAGTATGTTTTTGCTTCCAAATCAGCCGATGACACAAAAAAAGGCAAGGTTGGGATTTCAAGGTAGGGCTTACCCGTTTCTTATGCGGCTGAGTCGTTACCGGCGTTTACCACCAGAGCGGTGAACTCTTTGTTCCCAACCTGTCAGGTCAGGGTGGTTTTACAGATTTTAGAAGAGGATCCCTCTCCTTCTCCTCTTCCTCGCCTCACTAGAGCATGCGCCAGATCACAGTGGGCAGTCCCGGACCTCAACAGCATGCGCCAAATCACGGTGGCACTCCCGGACCTCACCCGCAAGCTCCAGATCGCAGTGGGCACTCCCGGCTTCTCAGAAGATCACTCGAAGTACAACAGTTTACACTTTGCTTGTGTGATTCACTTGGTGGAGCCCACTGCTTCTTTTTGTCATGGGGACTAAGCAGTTGGAGCGAGGGTCAAGATGCGCTTCGTGCTTGAAAAGTGCTTTTCCCACGCAGCTGCTTGCTTTGGTTTCTTTAGAAAGAACTTTTGGTGGACATGAGCAGAGGGCTTCATCTGAGAAGTTCGCCTATGGAAACCTTACGAATCGGCTTACGCAGGGCTTACGCGCAATTCGTGTGGCCGTGGGCCACTCCACCCCTGCAAACAGGGCTTTTGAGAGATTGAGTCCCCAACCCTTTTCTGCTTGCAATGTTTCTCAGCAAAAAGCTATACAAAGTAGGCAGTGTAACTAGAAGACTCAAAATTGCTTACGCACCTCTTACAGTACCCATCGAGTGTCCTAAGCTTGGCTTCCACCAAACCTTACGCAACCCTTACGCCGTGCAGACTTTAGCTTACGCGACAGTCTTGCAGTTTAATCGGATCACGTTGTTCTTTCATACATTTCATGTCATTTCAAATCCAAGTACAAATCCAAATTCAATCATATTTGCCATTGGGGTAGTTGAACAATTTATAGATTCCAGTCCCAGGAGTGTTTGTGAAGACTTCACATGTAAACATGGACTGAAATCCATCGCATCTGAGATGGGAAACCTTCATTACTGCACAGCAGCGTCTTTGGCCTTTGGGGGTGTTTTGGAGTTTCTCCAATTAAGTCTTGGGGATCAACACTCAATGATTGTCTGTCCAAGGAGAGCTTCAAGATCTCAAAAGGTCAAGAGCATATTGTGTATTCTTAGTTGATGGTTGCTAAAATCCTCCAAAGGCCATTGTTGAGTCCCGAATTCCACACTCTGCAAGACTGGACATTCCCTGCAAGGCCTTCACTGTCAGCACTGGTGCAGGAGCCAAATTGATGGTATTTTAGAAAATACATGTCATGTTTGGCCCATGTTCTCACACAAACACGAGCCCCCTCCGCGGGATCACGCAGAATAAACGCCTCAGCCCAAGCTGGTCACCGCACCTTCACCTCAGTCACGCTCGGCCGGCCTCGCCGATACTTTTGGCGTGCTTGTTCAGCTCAGCTTGTGTGTTCCCGCAGCTGGTCATCAGCCTCAGCTCATCGCAGCTCAAACTGACCCCGTGGATCGTTTCGTCCAAGAAAACAGTGCTTCCACCTAACTGGATCATTACTGGAAATGTGAAATAGCATAAGGAACGCTTCCATGTCGTTTACCATTTGTGCACAGCCAGCCGATTCAGGAACCTGCGACGTCACACTCCAGGGAACAAATCGATCATATATTATATATATATATGCCCCTCATTGCCCCTCTACATCATTGCGTCATGTGAAAGTTGAGCTGGTAGCTGGTACCAGTCTTAGAACATATATTAGTGCGGTGGCGGTCAAAACATGCTAGTCATTCTGCTGTCATGGTATCGCTTTTCAGGGTTCCCGATCGCTCCACGCAGTCCCAATAAAAAAACAAAGAACCCTACAATCTCTATCAACCCGGAGGGCTTTTTGTGGTTCGTCTTAGAAGCTCCCACATGAAAGCCATTGTTTCGAGAAATTGCAAACGCCTTCGACAAGCTCTTTGCTACGTGGCATGAGGAAATGCTAGTAGTGTTAGTGAGTTTTGGCTCTACACATGGGGAGGTGGCTAGGACTGGACTTCTGAGGTATCGCTCCAGGTATCATTTGGTATCGGTACTCTTGGAACAGGTATCGCTCATCAGGGTTCCCTATCGCTACACACAGTGAAGGTTTACAAAGTCAATGGCGGCTCACCTCCAAAACTTTTTAGGCTTTTAAAGGAACACCTGCTAGTTTTCGGGACATTTCAACCCAACCAGACATGGGTACCCGTATTAAAATCTGTAAATCAAGTATGTCCACGCATGTTCACGCTGAACATGATGACAGTGATGTAGTCCATTGTGGCAAACGGTCTGTCTTTATAACGTGTAAAAACGCATCAAAATTAATATTATGCACATTGAACGCATGACATCCTTGTAATCATTGCAACACATGAGAAATGCTCAATGTGTCGTGCAATCAATAAAGAAGCCTATCAAGGAAAAATATCCTCTCCAAGTCTCAACAACAACGCTGCACACTAACAGGGTGGAACCTGAAGGGTTTCAGGGAGGGCCCTGGTGGACCCCCCCTGTGGCTGCGATCTCAGGCCCCTGCTGGTCATGAAGTTCTTGAACTTGCAGGAGTTCCTGTGGAAAGCTGCAAATCTTGTGGGTGTGTTCTTCAGATGTCAAGGGCGCAAGTGAACCTCAAAAAACTGGTAAAATCTTGTAAACACTTTCCAAGACAAAACATATTTGTACAATTGGTCGATCCCAAACAGACCCCAGGAAAACCTGGGTGTAAAGCGGACCAGCCATGGAGCACCTCCCTTTCATCGCTTCGCCCGCTCATCAAACGACGCTTGGCTTGCGCCCGATGCTGAACGCACGAGCGGCTGCCACGTTTCACGAACGGCGGCCACGGTGGCCTTCTTGAGATCACCCTGCTGTTGCTCCACTTTTCGTTGCTTCTCCAACATCTGCTGAAGGTCCTTTTTCACCTGGCGCGTTGTGTTTTCCCATTTTAAAAAAGGATGGAGATACAGTATTATGCATTATGCACCTCCAGGGTGGAGTGCCAGTCAGGTGCAAAGATCCACTCTTGGAGGGGTCTATAAAGAATCAATCTCCTCTTTGGAACTTCTGGACTGCATCACAATCACAACTCTTAATCCAAAGTAGATCCTCCCACTTAAAATGGTGTCCACACATCAATCACATGATATACACATCGATCATGTTCAAGTTCAGGTGATGCAAACCCCCAAAGGTTCCACACACCTGTACGAGTATTACGAGTGACGTGGTTAACTCTGAGGTCTTGAGCAGCGTCTGGTTTCGTCCTTGGCCTCGAACTCAAGTCGGGGCATCCCAACAAGTCGACATAGATTACATGCATGGCAACGATCACATCATGCACACAGGTTCCATTACAATTACACCCAAGGGGCCTTAAGGCCACCCATTTCATATTGGACATGGAAATGGGGAGATGCACACAGCTTCCTCCCACAGAGCTTCCTCCAAAATGAATCCCCGTGAGCGGAACGCCATGTTCGTCCCTGGTGCCAGATCTGCGATCGATCCGGCTGGGTCGTTGGTGAGCTGCCCAGCTTGGTCGTTCGCTTCGCACATGTTCGTTCCCACGCCTCGCGACTGTGCTGGCCCAGGGAGGTGTCGTGTTGGTTGAGCTTCTCCAGGACGTCCTGGCGAAAAGACGTCCAGGAGGTCGAGATCCACGCGATTCCGGAGGCCCCCAGTTTCTCAGGAAAAAC